GACATAGTTTTCGGTTGCCGTTACGTGCTGTTGTTATGGGTTGAATGTGCCCACATGTCGCATGTTAACTCTCACTGTGGTGTTAGGGGACGGAGGCTTCTGGCTGGTGCTCAGGTCACGAGGGTGGACACAGTGAAAAGACAGCTGCGAATCAGGAAGACGGCCTCTCCCAGACGGCAGGTGTGCTGGCGCCTTGGGCATCCAGCCTCCAGAGCCGAGGGACACCCGTGGGTGTTGTTGAGGCCCCTGCCGTGTGGCACCTCTGTCATGTCAGCCCGCATCAGAGAAGACCATCACGGTAGTCCCGCCTGGTCGGCGCCTCCAAATCTGCCTTGCATTTTAATGGCTGCAGAATACTTCTTAGGATGGACATACCGAAAGATATTTAAGTCATTGCCTGGTCAATAAATATTCTGCTCATTTCTATTTCTTAAAAAAATGTCCACGACAAACAATGCTGGATGAACTTCGATGCTCAAAAGTCCTAACTTAGTGCTTTGTATCTGTACAATAGACGCATAGACGTCCGATTGTTGCACTAGGCAACTTTTGGCATCTCTGGGCCACACATTAAATACATAAACAGTAACGAAAACTGACGAGCAAAAAAAAAAGTTCTGTGAATAATTTTTATGATATCCGCCACCACAGATAAGCCAAAAAGTTCTCTCATAAGAACCCTAATTATTCAGCAGCCCTTTCAATCATCTTTTAAAATCATTGAGCCCTGGCTGGTGTAGCTCAGTGTATTGAACGCAGGCCTGTGAACCAAAGGATCGTGGTTCGATTCCCAGTCAGGGCACGTGCTTGGGTTGCAGGCCAGTTCCCAGCAGGGGATGCATGACAGGCAACCATACATTGATATTTCTCTCCTTCCCTTCCTCTCTAGAGATAAATAAGTAAAATCTTAAAATTGTTGAGCAGGTCCCAGGTTTGTGATCACTAATATAGAAAATGTACATGTCCAAGTAATAAAGATAAGTCAAGTTTTAAGTAAATCTACGATTTTGTGCTGGGCCGCATTCCAGCCATCCTGAGCCGCCTGTGGCCTGCGGGCCATGGGGAAGACTCCGCTGTGCTCCGCAGTTTTTAAAAATAGACATTGTCAGCCCTGGCTGGTGTAGCTCAGTGGATTGAGCGCGGGCCTGCGAACCAGACAATCGCGGTTCGATTCCCAGTCAGGGCGCATGCCTGGGTTGCAGGCCAGTTCCCAACAGGGGACACATGAAAGGCAACCATACATTGATGTTTCTCTCCCTCTCTCCTTCCCTTCCCCTCTAAAGATAAATAAAATCTTAAAAAAAAAATAGACATTGTCAGATTACTTCCCCCCAAAACGCTCTAGAAATTCACATTTCCAGCAAAAATTGGATGGAGTGTCTCTCTCTCTCTCTCCCTGCCTCTCTCACCCCCAAAGATGGCCGGGACACAAAGCAGTGAGAGCACCAATGAGATACACAGTATCCTTCTCTGAGCCCCGTCAGCTGTGAGAACACCAGGGGTAAGCGTGGGGCCTGGGAGAGAGGGCAGTCCGAATGCAGGCCACGTGGACCCCTGTTAAGGAGGGGGATGGTTCGTTTGGAACTCGGGCTCTGAGAACAGCTGGCCAGGAAGCAGTAGGAGGCTCGGGGCAGAAGGTAGGGGAAAGCGACCGAATCTAGAAGATATTACATTCTCCAGGGTGGACAGACGAATGGCCAATGGACACGTAAAAGGATGCCCGGTATCATCGGTCACTGGGGACGGCAATCACACCACCATACGAAACCACTCCCCACCCACCAGGAAGGCCACAGTCCCAGAGGCAGACGGCAACCGGTGTCGGTGACAATGTGGAGACACGGGACCTATGGCACGTTGCCGGTGAGAAGGCGGAATGGTGCCGTTTCTTTGGAAAGCAGTCCAGCAATTCCCCACAAGAGTTAAACGCAGACTTAGTTTATGATCCAGTATTTCCATGCCTAGGTACAAAGCCACAAGATTAAAAACCTATATCCACATCAGAACTTGTGCATAAGTGTTCAGGCTGCATCATCCATCACAGCCGCCAAATGGGAAGAACCCAAATGCCCATCAGCTGATGAGCAGATAAACAGAGCGTGGCATGCGCATGCAACGGATGGAGTATTACTCAGCCATGAAAAAGAAGTTCCACCACCCACCGTGAGGTGGGCGAACCTTGAAAACATGCTGCCAAGTGAAAGAATCCAGATACAAAAGGCCACAGATTATGTGTTCTGTCTCTATACAAAAATGCCCAGAATAGGCAAATACGTAGAGATAGAAAGTAGATTCGAGATTGCCAGGAGGTGGAGGAGGGGGGTTCCGGAGTGACTGCTTAAGGGACTTCTTTCTCAGGTGAGGAAAATATTCTGGAATGAGGGACATTCCAGAACATGGGGATTGCTGTCTACCTTGTGAATATACTAACAAGCACTGAACTGTATACTTCACAAGGGGGAACTTTTCAGAACGTGAATTGTATCTCGATCTTGAAAAGGAAGCTATAGGAACGAACATGAACGTGGCGGAGGGTGGGGGGCGGGGACGAGGAACACTGGACGTGAACAAGCCGGCCACGGAAAAAGAACCGTCCATGGAAGAAGAACCACGGCTGGGTTTTCAGCACTTAAAACGACGGCCAACCTCATAAATGGTAAAATACCAGCAAAATAAAATCACAGCGAGACTGGGCTCCCCGCCCATCAGAGTGGCCAACCCAGCAAGATTTGGTGACTTTGTGGGGAGGGGGCATAACGAACAGTCAGTATGTGTATCTTTGCTGGCAGCGTGAGGATACTTGAGTGACACATGTCAGTATTTAAAAATCTGCAAACTCTGTGCACACTAAACTCCCCTTCTAGACTGTTACCTGGTATCATTCATTATACAGAGGTGGGTATTACCCTGTATCATTACACAGAGGCGGGCTGTTTGTAGGACTAGTGTTACTGTGGCCGGAGACTGGAAACGGCCTAACCTCTGGTGCCTGGGGACCTGGGCAAGTCAGGATCACTCGTCCACACAAGGATCAAGTGCACCACCAGCCTGGACACCCCAAGACAGCCAGTGAGTGAGGAAAAGAGCTACAGCCAAGAGTGTCTGCATAGCTGCCCTTGTGTTTTTTTAAAACGGTGCTGAGAGGAGGAGGAGAGGATCTGAAAACACCCACGCTTGGTAATGAAAAGAGAAAACGAAGGAGAGGTGTCGAAACCAGACCTGGGATTTAAGGAATGTTGACCTACTTCCCGTCCTTGCCTGGGGCTGGCCCTGCTGCGGTGACAGGCTCTGTCACTTATGAGCCTGCAGCTCCACCTGGAGGGGCTCAGGGCCCAGCAGGCTCGGCATCCTGGCGTGGGCGCCCCACCTCGGGGGCATCTCCAGAGCCCAATCCTCTGCTCAGCAAACTCAGGGACTTGAATTTTTAAGTCACCGGGAGACAATGTACCTCTCACAGCTCATTTTACAAAAAACTCATGAATCAACCCCACGGGCAGGTTATTGGTTCAAGAGGAGAAAATAGAGCTGGAGGGGGACCTGGGCCACTGGTGCCCCGCCACCCAAGGGGGCCGTCCCTGTGGGGACCTGCGGGAGCACCTTATGGAGGGCAGGGTGCCCAGAGGGCCCAGAACCCAGCCAGCACGCCTGGAGTTGACCGCACCCGGGGGTGCTGAACTCATCTTCACCGGGGGCCACATCAGCCTCGAGGTGGCCTTCAAAGGGCCGAATGTCATTTTGGGACTGTACAAATGGAACCACTCCTTAACCAGGGGCAAGGCGCTCGGCGCTGTCACCAAGTAGAAACAAGGTGTCGGGCCGGATAAAACGGGGTCGAGGGCTGGATTTGGCCCACGGGCCTGGTGTGTGCCACCTGTGGGCTATAGGATTCAAATGTGTAATGCTCCAAGCTGTGATAACCTGGTGTGATGATGATGAAAATCTACCTTGTTAAGATATGCGAGGTAGTAAAACTACTTCACAATGTCAGAGGTTGGCCTCTGCGAGATTGTTTCTGAATTGGAAAATGTCATCGGAAACTCCTAACATCCGGCTTTTATGGAAATATCTTATCTGCTGAGGGACCCCCAGGGCTGAGTGGATCCTTCTAGACGGGAAGGGCCCCAGTTACCCCTGCGCCCTGCAGAGCCTCCTGCCGGGTCTCCAGTGCAGGGCACTGAGGTGAGAACCGCCCCCAGCATTTCTAATCTGGGGGTGCTGGCTGGGGCCCCCACATCTGCAGGTCTAGTAGTTCCAGGAGGTGGGATGCTGCTGGCGCAGGGTCACTCTGAGGGTCGCGGACACACGTCCCAGCCCTGGCGGCTGCAGATGGAGCCGGACCCTGCTCCCACGTAAGCTGCACGAGTGAGGATTTTAACCTCGCCCGTCTGACTCTGAGCCTACTTCCCCGATTGCTTTCACCTTAGCTGCTGCGAGTCTGCAGCCTCTTCCCGTGGCACGAGTATCAGAAGAGGTGAGAGTAGTTGAGAGCGGAACTGAACCCCCGCAAGAGGATGGAGCCCCAACCCCCGATGCCTGGGGCCTCGTTAGACGATGGGCAAGGGAAGATCAAGCCCGTTAGGGTGAGCCTCATTCCAGCGTGTCTGTGTCCTTATTAAAGGGGCAGTTTGGGCTCAGAGTCCGACACACAGAAGGAAGGTGCGTGGGTGTGAGGTTGCGGAAGAACATCTAGAAGCCAAGGAAGGCCTGAGGCTGCCGGAGGCTTGAACAGCGGCAGGGAACAGATTCTGCCCCCCATCCCACCATCATCCTCAGAAGCGACCGACCCTGCCACCCCTTGGTCTCAGACTTCTGGCCTTCAGCACTGAGACAGTACATGTCTGTTGCTTAAGCCTCCCCGATGGCGACACTTTGTCCGGCAGTTCGGGGACCCTGAGATGGGTGTTTTCAAGGTGAGCCCATGGCTTTGATCCTTCCCTTTTCATCCCACCAGAAACAGGAGCAGCGGTCCTGTCCCCAAGGCAGCGCCGGGCGACACTGACCTTCATCGTAGACTTGAACGGTGTGGGTTGACACCATCGCCGGCCTCCCATTTTGAGTGCAGTCCCTCCTAGACACCTCCTGGAACGGAACACGGGCCAGTGTCACTCAAGTCTTTGGGGAAAACCAGAAAAACTCAAGGCCGCAGGGGTGCCTGCCCCGAATTAAACTTAATTTAAAGGCTCTGTTTCTGGAAACGCCCCAGCGTTCTGTGGGAGAGACTCCATCCCACCTGAAGGACTGGATTTCTGGGATCGTGACCATACCCCCTCGTCTGTCCCTCATCTGTCCCTTGTCTCAGGAGCCCCACAGGCCCCGGCGGGACAGACCCTGGTGTGAGGGTGGAGTGCCCAGGTTAACTGGGGCACCTGTCGAATCAGTGGAGAACAACGTGGACACCAAAACCTGTGAGGGACACCCCACCCCGCTGTCCACACACTTGGGCACAGCCCACAGCCAGACCCTCAGTCAACAAACCCGTCCAACACAGGAAGCCCTTCCTGCTCCACACACGGGGCGGCCTCTTTCCAACTGGAGGCCACGGCCCTGATTTTCTTCCTCTTCTGTCACTTGTCACAGATATTAAAAAAAATTTATATATGTTTGTGTGTGCACACAAACCGACATATATATATATATATATATATATATACATTCACATGGAAGGAAAAAAGTCAAGGAGAACATATGTTACATAATGTCATCTAAGTCACAAAATCATCTTCAGGGATCTCCTCCCTGGGCCACACTGGGACAAGAGTCATCGTGGGCCACACACCAAATACATTGTGACATGTAACCACAAAAACATCTCATAAAGTTTGAAGTAAATCTACGCTTTTGTGTTGGGCCTCGTTCGCAGCTGCCCTGGGCTGCGTGTGACCTGCGGGCCGCGGGTTGGCCACCCCTGATTCTGAATTATTCCTCTAATAGTTGACACTAGGTGAATATTGATTTTATGCTAAGTACTTTGCATATTGTTCCTTACTGTGCTCATTCTGTGAGTAGTATAATACATGTTAATAAGTGCACAGAAAAATAAAAATAAAAGACCAAAAAGCAACCTTCTAAAGGTGGGGACCTCTGGGGGGATATGAAAGACGTTTCCTTTCTTTATACTTTTCTCATGGTTTTCATTGTTTAAAATAAGCTGGTGTTCTTGGGTTTATCCTGAACTCTACCAAGAAATCGCGAAAGCTAAACATTAGACCCGTACAACCACCGCACCCTGAGGTTACAACCGGCTTTCCTAGGCCAATATGTGCTCTGCAAAGTTGATCTATTTGGCTCGCAGCATTTTAAAAGATCATTTTAAAATCAGTTGCCACTATTTAAAAAGCAGGAGATTTTATCAGTGCTGGTGCCCAACTCCTGATGATAAGAAGGGTCTGGGAACCTCCTGTTTCAGGCGCCCCTACCCCCCCACCCCTCATCCCCACCTGCTGTTTCGCTCCCTTTGATGACTTCCTGGCCCCAGAGGACAGGGGCTCCGTGACCTGCGATCACCTGGGGTGCCCGAGAAACTCCTGAGGCCTGGGCCCACACCCAGAGGTCGCGTTTAGGTTGGTTTTGGTGGCTGGTTCTCAGGAGTTTGAAAAGCATCCTGGGTAATTCCAGTGTGCACTCAGGTTCCACACCCGCCAGGAGTTTTCGGCCCATTCCTTCAAATCCAGCCTTTTGTCGTGAGCAGGATGTCCCTCTGTCACATGGGTACTACTCGTTCAGGGCCTTAGCTTCCTCCTGTAGAGATTCCACGTCGCACTGTGTCCTAAGTCGGACTGAATCGATCTCAGAAACACGGATGGAGGAAGTTTAGGCTTCCCGCTACCTGGTCAGAGAAGAGCCCAGGAGAAGCATCTGGGTGTCCGTGACCTCAGCCTTCCAGAGCAGTTTTCTCAAAGGAGAGTCCCTAGACTAGGGGTCCGCCCCAGGGCTGCACGCACCACAGTGAGGAGCTCCGCCACGTGGAAGCCTGCCCTGGCTCCCACATGCTGATATAACCGGTCTGGGGGCCGCTCCGGTCGGTCCCCAGATGGTTCTCACGTGCAGCCCAGGCTGTGAACTGCTGATCGGAACCTGGGTTTTCCATCCTCTGCCGCCAACACGTGGGGCCGTTCTGTGCGTTGTAGGGTGTTTACCGACATCCTGGGCCTCTGCCCACCTAGACCAGCAGCACAACCCGAGTTGGGACAGCCAGAAATGTCTCCAGACATGGCCAAGGGTCCCCTAGTGGGGACAGACAAAATTACCTGCAGCTGAGAACCACTGGGCCAAACCCACCAGGCAGCGGGTATCAGGTCGGCCCCACAGGAACCATCCTGGAGGGTCCTAAAGACACAGGGTCCTCGGCTCCCCACCCAGCCTTTTCTGACTCAGCACGTCTCTGGTGGGGCTGAGAGCCTGAGTTTTCCCTGAGCTCTGTGATGGATTCTGGAGGTCCGAATACAACAGAACAACCCCTGGGAAGATGGGGTCTCTGTGATAAGCCCCAAGTGGGCCATTTATTTCGCTGGCATCCCCCAATCGTAATGACCCAGGGACTGCCACTATGCTACCTTGTAAGTGTCTGTTTCCGAATCATTCTCTAGGTCATCAGCTCTTTGCGGAACACTCAGCTGGTTACCCATCGTTCCTGCAATGGAGAGAGAGAGAGAGAAATTAAATTTCATGACAAACAGAAGCCTGACTGTCGCCTATGAGGCTAAGGGACAGAGACCTGACAGGTCCCCATGGTGCATTATCACAGGGGCTCACATTTACTTTGGGGCCTGAGAAGTGTTAGAGCGTCATTCGACAAAGTTAAAGTCAGCCGCGGCCCCGATGTTCAAGTACATTTCACTGCTGGGGTAAAGATCATCAGGAACAGTGTATTCTGGGTAGAAAACATTTTCTTCCCCTTCAGTCACAGCTTTTATACCAAGGAGATTTTACGACGAAGATAATTATATAATACTTAATTTTTTAGTGCGCGCTGATCTTCAAACTAAATTAGGGCCCCTGTCCAATCCCATCATAGCACTGGTAATTTTTTTGTAGCACTCAGCACTACCATTAATTGTGTGTTTATTTGGCTATATTTTTACTCACTCATGGATTCAACAAATATACACTGAGCACCAACTCTCCACTTTACTTTGCACCAGGCACTAGGGTTACAGCTGTGAATCAAAGAGACGAGGCCCCCTGACCTCACGGAGCTGCAACTGGGGGTGGGGTGTAGGTGAACAAACAATAAACAAATAGACAAGGAATCCACAAACCAGGCCATTCCCGACGACAAGGCAGCATGGTGCAGTGGCCATGAACACTAAGCCTGGAGCGAGACAACTTGGGCTGGAACCCTCTCTCTGCCCCTCATCACTGTGTGTCCTTGGGTGAGTTAATTAGCCTCTCTGTGCCTCACAGGAGTCCCATGCACTCGGTGAATGAATGAGTGTAAAGTGAGATGGAGTGCAGCTCATAATAAAGAACATGTGTTTGTTAAATAAAAGACATAGGGTCAAATACAGAGAATAAAAGTAAGTTGGTAACATACCAAGAGGGGGTCGTGGTAGAGGGTGGAGTCAGTTGTCCTGGAGTAAGGGAACAGTTGACCCAAACCTGGAGGGCAACACAGAATAGTTAACGCAGTCTCCCATCCTCAGTAAATTGTAAGCGACACGCGGGCAGGACCCTCTGTTTATCTCCTGTTCTCAGCCCTGCATTGGCATTGATCAGGCGCTAACTATTCCTTGCTGGTCGACTGGAGGGGCGCATCATGGATAACTACCCCCCCCCCCCCGCGTGCCCCGAGCCAGGCCAGCCCATGTACAACCTCACTAAGCCTGTTGTGATCATAAACGTTATAATCCTAACAGTCAGCAGTTATTTAGCATGCTCTCCCTCCGGGACCTGTTTCTAAGTGCATTGCCCGGGTCTTCTCGTTTGGCCCGACGGCACCTGTGAGCCAGGTGTCACCCTCACCTGGTTCTAGGAACGAGGAAGCTGAGTCACAGGAGGTTCCATTACTCCCCAAGGGTCACCCAGGAGACTGTGGCAGAGGCAGCAGCCAACCTCAGGCTGCTGTGCTCCCAACTGTCACCTCCCTCAGAAGGAGGGACTCGAGTCTCTCTGAGACCGCCCCCAGGACACATATCCAACATGTGGTTGAGTGAGGATGTGACCCAGAGTCTCTTTGGTTCCCAAACTGGAGCTCTTCCAGCCACCCCGAGGCCTGTGGCCTCGCCACTTAAACATTTTGTTTCACACGCATGCAGGTGATTCCAATATAGTTCCCATCTCCAAACACCTGGCTGCTGGCTCGCCTGCTCTGGCGGTTTCAGAATAAAAGCCAGGACTTTTGATTTCTGGTTGAAAGCAGCTAGTGCACCCCCAAGGGTTCCCATGGGCCCCTCGCCCTGCCTGGTTTGAGTTTTTAATGTCCCAGTAATGGACACGTTGAGTAATCAGAAATCGCTGAGGCTGAAAACGGTCATAAATCTCACCACCCGTATCTCACCAAATTCCAGCACTTGAGGGAGTTTGGTGGGTAACAGAATCTAGGGATTTTACATGTGTTCTAATCATGGAATGTAATAAAACTGTGCAATGGCAAAACATACAGGCCACTATTTTTTCTCTTTGTAAAACCCATGAGGAGCACACTCCTGATACGTCATCACTTCATCTATCAGCGGGGCATTGCGAATGTCGGATTGACTCCTCACACCAGGGTCAGAGGTTGGCAGCTGGGGGTGGGGGTGGAGTTGGGGGCGGGGACAAAGCCAGCCCACAGCCTGCTTTGGTACAACCAGTGAGCTGAGTGTGGGTTTTACCTTTATAAGTGGTTGGAAAAAAAACCAGAGGAACCATGAGTTGCAACTCATCATAATGATATGCAATCAAATGTTGGTTTTACTGGGAGATGGCCAGGCCCATTTATCTATGTATCACGCTACAAGGGCAGAGCTGGGTAGTTACAGGAGAGACTGTGTGGCCTGCAAAGTCTAAGATGTTTATTGTCTGGGCCTTTCCAGAAAGCCTCTCAATCCCTGCTCAAGGTCACCGTGGGTAATATGTATCTGTTTTGCAAATGAGGGGGCTGAGGCAGCTGAGAAATTATATGTTTCATGTAGTGGGACTGACCAAGATTTGAACCTACTGTGTATAAAAATAATGACAATCACAATTGTAACAACCACATTAATGATAAAATAGTAGCCACAGGTAATTTGGTAAGTGCTTACCATGGGCTGAGGCACTGTCCTAAAAGCTTTACTTACAGTAAACTAATTCACTCCTTCCCACAAATCAACAAGACAGTGGTGTCATCATTCCAATTTTACAGATGGGAAAACTGAGGCTCGCAGGTTTAATGTGTTGACCCAGGCCACACACGCACCTGACTATGTCTCCATCTAAATCCAGCTTTTTGCCCAATGCAAAATTATTTGCCAGGGGCTTTGCATGCTTTTTAAGCTCCTATTAGTCAATTTAAACTCAGTCCAAGTTGGAGGCCACTTTCAGTAGAAATGTTTGAGACTGTGAAAAATCTCCAGGCTGGAGAAGTGTGACTGGGCAGGAGAGAAACTCTGTCGCCCACAGAACTGGGGTTACACGGTCCTGTTGTTGCAAGTTTTAAGTAGCCTCTCTGTACTTCAAGGCCAAGCGGCCCGAAAGAAAGAGAAGGCATTTGAACGTCTTTGGGATGTTGCAAAAGCCTCTTCTGCCCTTCCTTCAAACTTTGTGACAAAAGGCATTTATATGGGACAAAAACAAAAATTTACTGCCACCTACTGGCCGATGTCAGTATCAGCAGAAATGAATATATGCAGCCTGCAAGGTGAGGTCAGAGTGTCTGGGCAGGAGGGCAAAGGAAAGAAAGGCCTTGCCATTCAACCTTCACAGTGAAAACGTCCGTTAAAAGTTTAGCCAATAAAAGTTGGCAATGGAATGCCAGTCTTCTAACGCCCCAAAGACAGTACAACGATATAAAACAAGAGCCATAACGTGTGGGAGGGACTTGCCTTGCGCCCGCCCCGTGGGAACTGCTCTGGGCTCAGAGCAGTGCAGCCTGCAGGGTGAGACTGTGGGCTCCAGAGATGAACCCCAGGTTTGGAATCCCTGCTCAGCTGCATACTGAGTCTGTGACTCTTGCCGGGCCTCAGTTTCCTAATCTGTAAAGTGGGGATCGTCACAGCCTTACCCCGCTTAACAGGTTGTTGTGAGAACTGTACGAACTGAAGTATGCCAGGGGCTCGGCACCTGGCACACGGTGAGCACAGTGCAGTGTTAGCCGAGGTTAGGGTTACCCTCGTTATTATTGGTTCTCTTCAGTCAGGGTCCCCCAAAGTTGCCTGGGAGTAAGAATCAGCCGAGGAAGCCTCCAGCACCTCTGATTCTCACCGAAAAGCCAGCTTGGAGCTCGGCATCTGTAACTGCAGCCGACACAGGTGGTTTGCACGACCAGGCATGTGTGGGGAATACCGTGATGGCCGTCCTCTGTCCCAGGAGCGGGGCGCTCTGGGAGGCAGGATCTTTGTGTGAAAAGTAGGTGTGTCCTGGGCAGACCCGGATGGGCTGGCCACCCCATCTGCCCCTCACACACTCTGTGAGGTGAGCACTCTTTTCCTCCCCATTGAACGGATGGGCAAACTGAGGCTCCAGGAGGGTTAGGCCGTCATTCCTGTGGCCTTTTCTCCAGCCTCCAGTTGGGGAAACATATATCGGGCAGAGGTTTTCATCCAGAAGAACAGATTCAAGGGAAAGAGCTGGCTTTTGTTTTGAAAAGGACCAAGTGTGAAGGTGATGTCAAAGTGCCCTTTTAGTTCGTGAGCGGATGCTGTTCCTTGTTTTGATTTGATGACCACACCTGACATTAGACACAAGTGGCCATATGGCAGAGGGATTTGGTTTTGCAACTGGACACATGTTTGAGGGCCCAGCTTTCTGAGAACGTGGGGAAAATCTGCTGGGTGGGGGGGTCATTCAGATGAGAAAGTCCCTTTATTTCTCCACTTCTCAGCTGCGTCCTGAGGCCAGTCCTCCAACTGGCCCACAGTTCAGAATCGCCGGTGGAGATTCAAGTCCCCATGAGCAGGCTCCAACCAGGCCCGATTCCATCAGACTCTCCGGGACTTGGGCAGGGCATCGGTGTATTGTCAACCTCGCTAGAGGTTGATGACGGCCGATGATTTGGGGGGGGGGGGGGCGGAGCGAGTGCCCCACCCCCGCTGGGAATCTCTTGAGTGCTACCTTCTCTGACGCAGAGAGCCAGGCTGGGGATTCCTGGGTGCAAACAGGGAGACGTAGGACCGATCACGGCCAGCCTGGGGGTCTGCATACGTTCCCTACCCCTTCGGGGCACTCCTCGGGGGGCCCTCTGTTTTGTGAGCCTGCAGAAATCGAGACACACCTCCTGGGCCTGCAGCGGTCCGTTCCTGAGAACAAGCGTGCAAGTGTGCGGGTACCCGTGCTCCCGGGCAGCCCCACCTTTCTGGGTGCATGTGACAAGTGAGGATGTGGAGCGGTGGCGGCGCGGGTGGGGGCTCAGGGGGGACAGTGGAAGGGCTGAGTCCGGAGCGCTCACCTTCGCCTCCCCCGAGAAAAAGCTAAGGAGTGGGACCGGCCTCCATGAGCCCTTGGAAAGCAGTTTCCTTGTGGGAAATGCCATATTCACGTCGCTGGCAGCACTAAACGCCGCTGAGGGTCTTTTGTGGGCCGTTCACTTCCGATTTGCGTGCATTCACTTATCTGGCCCTTGCAAGAGCCCTCTGGGTTAGAGGCTGTTTGCTTAATTTCCTGGTGAGAAACTGAGGCACAGAGGAGTTCACCACAGTGTGGTGGGGGAGGTTAAATGAGGTGGGCAGGTGTGGGCAGCAGGGAACCCCTGCGTGGTCGTGGGGTATGTGCAGGGGTGTATTACAGACGGAGCTCTCTGCATATCACGATCTCAAAGTGCTCTCTTTAGAAACAGGCTGCTCTGTTTCTGACTCACAGCAACTCGCCAGCAGTGTTTTTCTAACTGGGCCGCCTGCCCTGGGGACATTTAGAAATATCTGGAGACATTTTTGATGGTCACGACTACCGCCATCTAGTGGGTAGAGCCCAGAGATGCTGCGGAACATCCCATAATGCATAGGACGGCCCCACAGCAGAGAACAATCTGGTACTGAATGTCCCTAGTGCCTGCTACAGGGGCTGGACTTAGTGGTTTTCTCCTCCCATGACGGCCCAGGGTGCCCTAGGGGACCCACGTTTCTCAAGAGCTGGTTTAGAGAGCCAGTCCTCCCGTCCGCAGTGCTGAGACAGCAAACCCTCCTGCCGGCGTGCAGACCCTGGCTCCCACCAGCTGGGGGCGGAAGCATCCACTCCTGGCCTGTACGGTGAGGGGTGGCGAGGGGCCCATCACAGATCTACCTCCATCTATCTGTTGTGAAGGTGTCAGGGGGGTCAGTCCACGTGGTGTGAGGTCCAGTGGCTTTGTTATACCAACTACTGGTGTTCATGGTGCTTCGTTTTGGCAACAGGTGAACAACCAGCCCACCTCCTGGGAACCGATCAAACACCAAATCTGGGCCCAGTGGCCGGGGAGGAAGGGCAGTCAGTCTGCAGCTGTGGCAGCGAAACGACTGTCCAGCGGAAGGGGGAGGTCCTCGACGGGTGGAATGGTGGCAGAATTAGTCACCGAGTAAACAGAAACACCTTGGATCTGTGCGGTGGCATGTAGGCAAACTGGGAGCCCTGCTCACCACCCAGCGGTGGGCAGTGCCAACATGGCCGGGCTGGCACACCCAGCAGAACACGCCCTCTGCCCCTACCCCAAAGGCAAGGTCGGTGTGAGTAAGGAGAGCAGACCTGCTCTGCCAGGTTTCCTGGTCCTGTGTCTCTCTGCCCAGGGTCAGGACAAGGCAGATACTATGAGGGCTGCTGCATGTAGTGGTACTGGCTGCCTCCTCCTCAAGGGGGCGCAGGAGACTGACCTCCACACCTCCCTGTGCTCCCCCAGCCCCGGATCCCCAGTCCTGCTATGAGACTCCCTGGACCCAGGGGAAGGGGTGCTTCCTCGAGAAGTTTAAACTGAAAACTCCCTAGAGTGTGGCCCCCTCTTGGCTTTTATTTATGGAGGAGCAGGGTGTCTACCCCCAGGCCTGGAGCCAGCGCCGTCTTTGTCGGGTGTCGAGGGGGGCGGGGGGCGCCAGGCACTACCCCCCGGTGCGAAGTGGAAGGAGGAGCCAGAAAACTCAGCCATCGGAATGAACACTACATTTTAACACGACCTTTCCGAACACCAAACAAATGCTGTTACCGATCTTGTCTTTGGCTAACACGTTACTTTGTTCATCATAGATCTCTTGGCGTTGGTTTAAACGATTTTAAATATTGCCTGAAGATATCATTTATTTTGCAAACCCTGTTTTGTTTGGACGTCTCTTAAATTCTGTGCCGGAGGGCACTCATGTTAGTTACTCAAGCCCTGGCCTGGACTGGATGCCTGGTCCTCGGCCTCCCTTCCGTGAGCCCGGAAGGTGCCCCTCCCCTGCCCTGGCCCCTGGCCCCATCTTCCTAATTGTAAAGTGGAGATGATGATAACAGCAGCACAGATAACAGGAGACATTGGTCACACGCACAGGTGTTCAGGTGCATTGGTCGCTCATGAACTTCACTTGGATCCCTGGACTATTATCACACCCATTTCACAGACCAGGGAGCTGGAGGCCCGGGGCAGCCGCCCCGCTGATCACAGGGCTCTTCCAGGCAGAACACACAGTTTCTGTGGCCTTGCAGCTGGGGTTGGAGCCCAGAGCTGCTTCAGAGCGTAGTTCAGAACGCACTCAAAAGTGTCTTCTCCCTGCCTCACTCGCCCCCTCGCCCCGCCCATCTCAGACGATGCCCCCAGGTGCCCCCACAGTCAGCTTTACCATGGGGCATTCTTATCCTGACGCTGGTCTCCAAATTGCATTCCTTACCAAGTTTTACACTTAAAATGACCTTTACGGGTTCCATACGTACAGGAGCCGTTTGTGTTGCTCGGCCCCCGATGCTGCCCACCCTGTTGCTTCATCCTCTCGCTGCCTTCCCAGCAGGACTCACGGAAGGTGAGACCGAGGCCCAGGGGCCCGAGGCCACCCAGGGGATTTATGGCAGAGCCGGGCCACGCAACCCCTGCTCCTGTGCGTCACCGCCGGCCCCAGATCACAGACCCTCCTGCTGTGCTTACAAGAGCTGAACGAGGTTACCTGCTGAGCCTCTGGTGGGAGTGGCTTTGGTCCCCTTGTATCACTTGGAGCTGCTCCCGTGCAGGGCACCTTGTCTCCAGCTGGTGCAGCTCAGTACCAGCGGCCAACTGAGCCCAGGTGCCCTGCCCTTTGCTTCCTCATCCGGAGCCTGCTGGCTGAACACACACAGGGCAGGGCAAACACCCACCTGGGTGGGGCCGTCCTGTCCCCTGGCCGCCTTGGGGAAGCAGATTCTCTTGCTGGCTGTCCTTGTCTCTCCATTAAAAACCACCCACCCAGCTGATTTCTCTCACCCTCACGCCTCCCTGGCTCCCCAAGCACCCTGTCTGTCGCCCCTCCCCCACCACCGCTGGGGTGGACTGGGGTGGCCAATCCCCTTCCCCAGTAACCTCAAGTCCCGGTTACAGCAGGGAAAACACGTTCTGTAAGGTTTTGCAGTTCCGTCTGCCTTTCACCTTCTTTTATTTCAGGATACCAGCTCCAACACCACCTACCCAAACCACCTACCTGGAAGGAAGTCGCATTTCACCCTCTGCACTGCCCCCACTCATGTAAACACCACCCCCCAAGGGCTGGAGACACCGGAAAGCAGGTAGCCTAAGGGGGGCTCATTGCCCCGGAGGTAGAGCGTGGCATTGGAAAGGGCATTCTTTTCCTCTGCAGGCTGGAAGGTCAGGTTTAATTTATTCAGTTCCAGCAAGGGTATTCATTCCAGAGTTTCACAAGGACAAATGCAAAACAGTCTGAGAGCACCAATTAAAAATATAGCTAAAGGAGATAGAAAAACAGGAGTGGGTACGCCCATGGGGTCAGGATCATTAAAAATGTGCTTGTTGATTTACAGGCTTGTTATGAAGCTATGGCTTGGAGCTTCCTAACAGCCAGTGCGAAAAGGGAAACATGGTAAATTATACTGCTCAGTGTTCTTGAGAAACCACGTAGGAGAAATGCAAACCGGTAATTATTGTGGCTCTGTTTATTAACACGCTCATCCAAGCATCCACACCAGGCTATGTGAACACCAGGCGAGTGCCAGGTTATCAACAGGCCCCGGTTGGGGAGAAGTGGGTGCAGAGACCCTCTCCCCAGCCTCCCTGCGCTTGAACACAGGGTCCTACAAATAAACATAGAGCCACAGAGTGTGATCCTCGATAGGAAACAAAAGCCAGGGCTGCTGAGAGAGAGAGAGACAGGGAGGCAGAGAGGGCCCCTTTCAGAAGGCAGCACTGATGGGACAAACGTAGTATTTAAATAAACACTGAATTCACCCTGGGACGCACCATAATGAGGGCTGTAAACTTGGTTCCAGCTCAGTGCTGGAGCTTTAGGTCTGGAATGTAATCAAGCCAATTATGAGGCAGCTGTCACGCGCGCACACGCTGCTAACAGGAACCAAGGCAGTTGGGCCAGCAGGCTGGAGAGTGCGGGCTCTGGCCCTGGGTCCAGACCGGGACTCTAACCACCGGCTGCGTGACCACCACCAGCCGCGGACACTCCCTAAGTGTCCGTCGACCCCTCGCCCACCCCCCACCTCGACTGTGAGCACGTTTGTGTCCCCGACTCCTAGCAGGCTGCAAACCGAGGTGGGTGTGTCCCTGCCGCTGCGTTACCCGTGACCACAAGCGCCATGTGGACAGCGATTTGCAAAGCACTTTGGGTCTGTCCCTCTCAGTCTCATCCATGCTGTAATTAGGACTTTTGCGCCCATTTTACAGAGGGGGAATAGGAGGTTTGGGGGTCGGAGCGACTTGAGCCATCAGAGTATGGTTCATGTGACTCAGGCAGGGCGCCTCGCAGCGTGTCTGGCAACTGTAGACCCTCGTCAAGCGTTAGCTCCGTAGCAGCGACAGAGGCAGCGCTGGTGATGTAACATGCAAGACCCCGAGCAAAAAAAAAAAAAAAAAAAAGGCAAGCCCCTTGTTTTGAGAGCCAGAAAAAGTCCTACTAAAGGCACTAAGATCTGTATAAAGATTTTTCCTCACTTCCATGGCCTCTCTCTTTTTCTCAATATCTCTCCCGCCTTCTCATGCCTTTTATTTGTGATGCAAAGTCACTCTAAGGGAGGGAAAACTGAAACTTCGAGTCATTAGTTGGTGGTGTGAAGACCGAACTTCACAGTGGAAGCTACGCTGCCCGGCGCCCACGCAGCCGCTCCCGGGAGGAGGGGCCCTCTCGCACACACTCGTTAGGTGGGGTCCGCGGTCACGCCTCCTGACTCGGTTTGCCTCTCAGTCTCCGGGTGTCACGGCCTCCACCCCTCCCTCTTCAAATATTGACGGACTGGTGCGGCCAGCAGCCGCTTTATCAACCTGCTTTCCTGGAATCGGGCCGGAGCTGCCCGCTGCGCAGACTCATCGCAGATCCGAAGTCTTTCCAGACCGTTTTCCAGGCCTTCCCCTGAACCCCCACCCCAGCCAGGCTCGCAGACAGTCCTGCCTGCCCCACGCAGGCCTCTCACTCCCTCTGCTTTTGATCAACGAGCCAGAGGCAGGCACAACCCAGACACCCGTTGCAGGGCGGCCGTGTGTGCCCGCCCTGCTGTGGCTGAGGCGGTGCATCTGGGTGCACCTTTGTCCTGGTGTACACGCCCATCACTTAGCATTTTTCAGATTGCCTTCTTGTACGTTGTGATGTGCTCCTTATTATAATCCTCCGGCACAAGGAATATCTGTTTAGCTGAGAGGAAGTACGGGCTCAGAGAAGACCAGTATCTTGCTCCAATCAGTCCATGGCCTGGTGCTGAGTCAGTCTCTCAAGGCCGCCCAGCTGGGCCATGGTCAGGAGCCTAGGCTCTGGAGTTATGCAGTCTGAGAAAGAATCTTGGCTGTGTGACCTTGGGCAGGTGGCTTGCCCTTTCTGTGCTTCGGTTTTATCATGTGTAAGAACGGAGATACCGGCAGCACCCAAGTCATGGAGTTTTTGTGGGAATTAAATGAGATAATTCACAGAAACTACTCAGTGCCTGGCTCAGAGTATGATTAATAAAATGGCAGCCACCACGGGGAGAGGTGGTGCTTCAACACACACCGTCTGACCCCCAGATGTGCTCTCAAAAACATTTTCAGTGTGCATCTATGAAAATGCAATGTGTGCGCACATGCAAAACTACACCGAGAATGAAATCACACAGATCACATCATCCAAGGGTGAGGAAAAACAGTTACAAACCCCACACGTAATCTACAAGCCACACGCAGATTTCACTGAATTGCTGATTGCTCAGCTGGGCTGTCTGTTCACAGCCTTGGACTCTCGGAGCCACAGTTCCGCCTGAAGCGAGACTTGGGAAACTACGCCGGCGAGAGCCGAGCCCTCCGACTCTCGTGGGGGTGCAGACTACCTTCCGAAGTGCCAGCCGGGGAAACTCGACTTGGGTCCAGAGCACAGCTTCTTATTCACCTCAGTGCCTGTTGCTGGAGGCAGAGCCTGGAGATGAGCAGTTGTCACCTGCAGAGGGGACATTTCCCTTAATCCTCGGCCATGGCCTCCATCCTTTAACGGCAGTGACCGGTCTCTACAAGGGGGCTGGAGGTTGGCAGAGAGGTGAGACCGGGGCCTCGGCACTGGATCCCAGTTTGGACTTGGGCCTGGGGTGTGTTTGTTATGTGCAGTGTGTAGTGTGAACATCACTTAGCTTTGGATCCTGGATCTGCGGGAACGTGGGCAAGATCCCTCAACTGCCCGGGACGGAGCGTCTCCGTGCTCCCATTGGGATCGGTGCCTACCGTGTGTATAACATAGCAAACTGCCTGGCACATACCATGTGCTGCATGCCAGCCTAGAGTTGTCCCCGTTTATTGTTAGAGGGAGAAGCCACCTACGTTGGGTGAGGTAGAGGAGGGTTTTACAAGGTTGGTACTGTTGACGTTTGGGGCTGGGTCGTTCTCCAAGGTGTGACCGTCCTCTGTCCTGTAGAACGTTCAAAAGCATCTCCGGCCTCACTAGATGCCAAGAGCCTGTCCCTCCTCCAGTGTGACAACCCTGAATGTCCCTGGACATTGCCACATGACCCCGTGGGGGCAAACTTGACCTTCCCAGAGGCAAGAAACTGCTGAGGTAGAAAGATGGGTCAGAGCCATGTGCTGCTCCTACCAGCTAAGAACTGAGGACAAGAGGCTTGGGCAACAGAGGACTGAAATCCCACAGTGTGTGTGTGGGAGGGCAGGGAAGGGCATGGTGGGCTCTGGGACTCCCAGGTCGCCTGGTGGGAACACAGGACATGGTGGCTGTGGTTATTATTATCAGTATTCATAGCAGAGGATAAGGCGGGGAATGTGGCCAGGCCCGGACTGGGAAAGAGTCTGTGGGTCAGGCCAGCAGTCTAGGCTTTGTTCGACAGGGCCACCCAGGGTGTTTATGCTGCAGGGCTGCCAGGTGAAACAAGGAAGTTCTGACCCCGGCTAGAGCACGCATGGACCCTGAAAACGTTACACTAAGTGAAATAAGTCAGACACGAAAGGACAAATAGCGTCCGCTTCCACCTTCCGGAGATGCCCAGAGCAGTCGAATTCATGGAGGCAGAAGGTAGAATGGTGGTGGCCAGGACCTGGGAGGAGAGGAGCAGGAGAGTCCTGTCTAATGGGGACAGAGGGGAATGTAGGAGAGAAAACCGTTTTAGGGATGGACCGTGCTGACTATGTGGCAATGGCAATGTCCTTCGTTCCACTGAACTGTGCACTTAACAATGGTTAGAATGAAAAATTTCACATCGTGACTGTGTTATCGCAATGAGGAAGTACAGGACACCTGTTCCATTTGAACGTCAGATGAACGATGAGGGATTGTTTAAGAGTCAGCGGGTCCCCAGCATTGTGCGGGGGAGTGTAGCAGGAGTACGGCCCAGCATGCTCATCGGCAGCAACCCCGGGGAGAGTGTGTGAATCTCCAGGGAAAGTCCTCCCCCTTCCCACAACGCACTGGAGAGGGCCCAGAGTGAATTGCCCGTGAGCTCGATGATTATATTTGCAAATGACAGTGGCCCTGATCGGCACAGCCAGGGCAGCAGAGAGCAGAACCCGCCGCGTTCCTGCAGGCCCAGGCCTGTGCAGACCTGCCCTTTCTTCTTGCTGCCGTTCGCTGAGGCCTGACCCCCGAGGGCTGCTCGCCTGTGTTGTCTGGCTGAACAGAGCCTGCCTGAGATGGAGCAGAGGGTCCCTTCGCAGGGGC